ACAAGTACCTTGTGGCTGAAAGTGATCCCTCTATCCAAATTTGACAGTGGTTCTAAAGTCTAGGGCGCTGAGGATACGCTCTCAGGGATGTCAACCTAGGTAGTAAGCTTCAGACCAGTATATCGATGTGGATTAGGGCTGATGATTAAAAGTCAGTCAAGATCTTTCCTGAATTGAGTCAGCATATAAGATTTCATATGATTCCTTCGCCAGTATAACCTCTCTGGTATTATCGAATACTAAAAAAAAAAAAAATATTTAATATAAATAATAATATAACAAATAATAAACTCTATTATTTTTAATTTACTGATAATAAATCATTCAAGAAAAACTATTATTTGACTTAAATTTTATCAGATCAGATTAGGTTAAGTCAATCTTTTGAACTGATTTGACTTTAATCTAAAAATCTACTAATCTAACCTAAATTTTAGGTCAGATTAGATCAGATAAGCAGATTATCTTAATCTACTTCAGAGCTCAAGTCTGTATCAAAGTTTGTTATTCAAAAATATTATTCATGATTTAGATTTTAAACTTTATTTTAATAAAATATAAAGATGATTCTAATAAAAAATTGTTTTTTTAAACAAACTATTGAAATTTTAGATTAATCTGAAATTTTTAGTCCAGTTTAAATTTTTCAATTCAAATTATATTTATAATCCAAAAAAATTTGAACTAAACCAAAAATTTTCAAATTGATTTTTTTGCAATCTGAAACTGAATTAAAATCGATCTGAATTAAAAATTTATGAATTAATCTAAATTGTTTAAAGCTTTAACATAAATAAAAAACTAAAAAATAATATTAAATCAATATAAAATTTAAAGTAAATCAGAAACAATTATTTTATTATATATAAATTAAAATTAAAACTTAAAAGTCAAAATATTTTAATTTAAAAGTTATAGTTAAAATTAAAATCAAAATAGTCAAAATTATATTATCATATCACATAATTTTTATATCTTAAAATGTTTAAAATATAATATTTTGATAATATTTCAGTCAATACCACTTTGATTTTTATAAAATAATTACCAGTAGAATCTTCTTGTTAAATAATCTAATAAGTTAAAATCATTAAATTTTAATCAAGTAATCGTGAGATAATTGTGAATACATTTTGTAATATAAGCATATCTAAGCCTTTTATAATTTATAAATTTATAATTTAACTAAACTTTAATATTTAAATAACTTGATCAATATTATTCTAATTTTTATGAAATATTTATTTTAATGCGAATTGAAGAATTATTAATTAAATTATATTTTGACAGATATAATTATTTTATTAATAATTTATAATAAATATAAATTAACATAATTAATTTTAATATTATTAAATTAATTAGCACTAAAGTATAATCAAATAATTCACATTAAATTTTCATAATTAAATGCATTCAATAAGCTAAAAATTATTAAATTCTGATAATAGATGATGAGATAACAATTTTTTGAATAATTATAATATTTTAAATTATAAAATTTATGTGATATGACGTAATATTTACTTTTTAGATAATTTAATATTACAATCATTTTGACTATTTTAATTTTAATTTTATATATAAAATAAATTAGAAACATTTTATCAATATATTAAATCAAAGTAAACTTAAAATAAATCAAAATAAATGTCAATTGATTATAAATAAAATAAGTCAAATATTAGCTGATTTTTAATATATACAAATCAGTTATAAATATATCAATTGGCTATAAATAATATAGATTAAAAATAAGTTAAATGTTAGCTAATTTTTATATATACTAATTAGCTATAAATAAGATAGGTTAAATTTTAGATAATATTAATATATATTAATCAATTAGGCTGATTTTCTGATTTAGGTTAATTTTAAGCTGATTTATTATGTCTAATTTTTTTGATTTATATCAGTACATTCTATTAAAAATAATATTTTCTCGATTATTTAATAATTTCTATTAAGATTTTCTTTAAAATTTTAAATATATAAATCATCATTTATATATTTATAAATTTTTATAATATTATTAACTTTACTGATATATAAAATACGTATACCATAATGTTATTACATCTAAATTTGACTGTTTAGTTATTATAATAATCACACAATTATTTATTTGAATTTTTCTAATAATATTTTTTACTATTTGATTTATAAATCATAAATTTAACTTATTTGATCAAATAATTTTATTCTAATTTTTTGCTATTTATAATTTATATTTTTTTGTAAAATTTATATAAGCTTTTATGTATTTTTAAAAAAAGGTTTTTACATTTAATTTTTGAGTTTAATTTATTTTATCATAAAGCCTGCTTTAGTATTTTTATTAACTTTAATTTGTTTTTCAAAGTATAGCTTTTTTAAATTACAATTACATTTGTATATTTTTTTAATAAAAAACATTTCATTTATTTCAACCTGTTAAGTATTTTAAGATTCAGATTAGATTTTAAAAGTACTATTAGTATTTTTTGTTACTTAATTCTTATAATAATTAATTGAAAAAATATTTTCTTTAGAGGTAATATAATAAAAGGAATATTTCTCTTTAAATAGAGTATAAATTCTTACTTTTTTATTAATAGTTAAATAAATTGTTAATATTTTTAAAGAAAAAAGGATGCATAAAGTCATTCTTTTATATGTATTAAATGATTATTTTGATTAAAATAATTGAATTTGATATGAAAATGTTTATTTTAATAAAAATAGTCATAATAAATGCATTGTTTAATTTGAATGTTTTATATTTTGTATAAAACTTTATTTACTTAATAAAAGATTATATAGGTTGATAAAACAGGCTTCTTAAATAAGTTTATAATACTACCTTTTTAATCATAAGAAATTATAATTTTAAGATTTACATTCAGGTGATGCAATACTTTTGACTGCCACTGTAATTATTATATGAAAATATAATTTAATATATATTTTATCAACTTTATTAAATATTTAAAGTTTATTTATTTTAAATTAATTTAAAAAATTTATTGTAATTTTTTTTAAAATTTCTTTAAAATTCATGGTTATGAACTAATTGGTACTAATAAAAGTTATAAATTTCTTAATAAATTATAAAATATTATATTATGAATAATATTGCTAAAGGAAAATTTTATTACGATTATTAAAAATTACAAATATTTAGCTTATAAAATATAATAAAAAGATTTACATGAATAAAATTTTCTATAAAAGAATAATATGGGAGGACGTCAATAAAAAGGGGGAAATCTGAAATTTATAAAAATAATTATTTTCTAGAGAAATTTCTTGGCAGACTCCATACATATAATATCAATTCGAGGGTCAATAACCCCTTTTAAGATTTTACAAAATCCGAAATATTGCATAATTTATGAGTTGCATTTTTATTCATTATGTTTATCTGAATAATTTTCTTACCATAAGGAGTTGTAAGATTTTCTAAACTCATGAGAATCAAATGAATCCATAACACATAAAATACATTTCGACACGAGTTCTGGACGTCATAAGACATTGCATGATGTCCAGATTCTTCACATTTTGAAGTATTTTAAAACAATTTAACATTTTCGGTGATGATATTTTCACCATTTAAAGACGAATAATACTCGTTATTTGGACGGTTAAAATTTACAATATCAAATGTTCGAGAACTGACGACCGGTAAAAGATGATAAATATGTTGAAATGCTCAAAGAAATCAACTATCTGTATAAAAGGAATGGGAACGGGCGATTAGAGTCGGTTCTGGAACCGATTCTAAATTCAGCATATTGAATTTATCTGAGTTACAAACCATTTCTGGAACCAGCTAGCTCCGGGCTCGGCTCAAAAGCATAATATACCGAATTTGCTGTCACATGCTCTATTTTATAAATTTAACTTGACGTTCCTAGTCTTAATTTAATTTATAAATTGTGACAAAACAATTTTTTTCTGAAATTCGCAATTATTTTTTTTTAAAAAAATTGAATTTATTAAAAAGGTACAAACCAACTATTATAATATATTGTTAGTATTTCAATACTGGACTGCAAGGCAAAACTCTTTGGTTTCAACGGGTGCCCACTTTCAAAACTATAATGATATCTTATTTGCAAAACCGCGAAACTAAAATAAATTCCGTCAAAAGTCAAAAACGTTATTAAAAATCTTAACAAATCCGTCGAAATTTACTACAATTAGTTTTGCCAGGCAACAGGTTGGATGTCACAGATACTATAAATGAGATACAGAAATTTGAACAGAAATTTTTTATGGGCTTTGTGAAAAATTGAAAAGGTTGCAGCAACTTCTTACGGAAAGCTAACTAGAAATTTAGTTTGAGATTTTATCAACATAAAAAATTTCGAATACAATGTTCGCAATATTTACTTACAGCGATACAATAAACATTAATTGTTGTCTGAATTCTTGCTGAATGATTAATTTAAAAATGTTTATGCTTATAAGTAACCTTAATACTAAGAATCATCACGGTATTTAAACTCCGAATTCTTCAAACTATGTTCGATTCACAAAGTTCAAATACACACAAATATACATTAGTTGAAATTTCTATAATCAAATATCTATAAAATTTTATTTAATTTAGATACACATTATCATTGAAAAAAATATAATATATATATATATATATCTAATTACAAAAAATTATTACATTGAGATCCAAGAAATTTATAAATTCTAGGTTATAATTATTATTAGGTATTAATACTAAAATACAAGAAAATTAGGGAGTAAAAATTAAAATTAGAAAAGAATGAAAAAAAGAATAGAAATAATTAATTTTAAACCTAATTAAGCAACCATTAGTTGAAAAAGTAAGAAATAATAAAATAATAATAATTTAGGAATAGTCTTAATAAAATCTTAAGATCTATAATGAAAATATTAGTTAGAAAGGAATTATTATTAGTTTTAAGTTCCTAATATTAGTTTTGTATTTATTTTTATTTAAAGAGAAATTTACTAAAAATGCATTAGCATTATAATCATTAACTAGATTGTTCATGATTTTGTTCTTCTTTCTCTCTCTCAAAATCTCCTGGAACTATTTAAGATCAAACAAAAAAAAAATTTTCAAAATGAAAACTTAAGATCAAATTATTATTAAACATAAAAAGTACAGAGATTAGAGAATGAAATTAATTACCATAATCAGGAATTTCAAGGAATTCTTGCATAGAATCTATTATGATTGAATTAAAAGTTAAAAAACAGTAAAGTTGACTAAAAAAAAAAGTTGTATGAAATTTTTCATCATTTTAAATTTTCTTTTTTTACCTGTAGTTGACAACTTTCTTTTTTCATTCCTGACTTTTATTTCACTTGAACCTTTATTATTATTTTCAAGGATAACAGCTATAAGAGAAAAAATAAAATAAAAATTAATTTTTCTGATTTCCATAGAAAATTTCTTGAATTATTTGAACAAAATTGATTTACTTACGTTTATTTGTTCTTTTGATAGGAGATGGAAGCATTATTTTTCCTTCGAGAACATCACTAACGGTTACGGGACGATCAAGTACAAATTGATTATTTGCAAAATGATGATTTTCTTCATGTTGAAGATGTTGAGGTTCTTGTTGTTGATACAACTCTTGTTTTTCGTTTATTACATTTTCTTGAGAGGAATAGGTCTTCTCATTGAATTGCTCTGTTTCCGTGGCGTTGTTCGTATTTGTGGTATTAAAATTATTAGCTGATTTTTCTTTTATAGTATTTCGGTTTTGAATATTAGGATTCATACTAGATGTATATTTATTTAAAATATTTTAAAAAAAAGTTTTTTTTTTTTTTTTTTCTCCGAAAGCAATATGGAAAAAGGCGAATATATATAATTTTTTTTTTCATATATTAAATATAATTATGGAACTTACCGCTTGTGTGTTCTTCTAAGACAACAAAAAAAGAACTTCATATTAAAAATGGAGTGGCGAATTTCGGATAAAAAATATATATATGAACTTTTCGTTTGAGAAGAGAGAGAGAAAGGAAAAAAAAAAATTTAGCCGCCGAATTTAAACCGGGTTTAATTAAGTTGTATTTTGCTCCATATTATCAAATGTTATACTTACTATATACTATTATTCAATGAATGAAAAAAATTTTTTTTTATACACATTATACTATATATATAATAAATGTAAAATTGGAAATCCTGTTCAAATCTATAAAAAGAAATATAGTATTATCTTTGCGTAACCATACATTACTAATATCCATTAAATTATAAAATTATAAATTGTTGTTTTGATTTTGTTTTACAAAAATAAAACTTTGTTCACTGTAAGGACGAAGAATTGTAACTTTTAGCTAGTGCAAACAGCGTCGAGATGAGTGGAATTTCCATGATTTCCTTCTTTACACTCTCACTTCTCACAATCAACATTGTTTACATAAACTGTCAAACTTTAACACCAAATATTTTCCGAAAAAAAAAAAGTTTAATTATGGAAAACTAACTCCGGAGAGAAGATTAAACATAATTTCATTAGTTGGAATGCATTCTTTACATAAATAATCTAGAACGATGCAACGTTTCAGACTTGTGAATAAATTGTTCTCGCACCAATGTCAGGGCTGAGGAAAATCCAGAATCGGGCTGAATGGAAATCACGTTAACTGCGCCGGGTGATTTATAAATTAAAATTACCATTAAAAAATGCAGGAATATTTCTAAAGAGAAGATAGTAACAATAACAATCGTCGCATAGTGTGTATGATCACGCACCCTTTTTACCAAAAGATAGAAATTTCAAAATGACTTGTTTGGGATAGACTAATCACATTACCAGGTTTAATGAATGAAACTTTATTTGTTTAATATTAGTATAATAAAATTTCGAACCTTTTAGCAATAATCGTCTGTTTTATCTTACGAAAAGTTGTGCTGCAAAATACGGGATGATCAGGGGGCAAAGGGATCTCACTTCCAATTTAGAAAAAAATAATAGAAAAAAAATTATTTTCATTTTTATTTTATATTTATTATATGTAAAAAACGATACGAAAATACAATACAAAAAAAATTACGATTTACATTCTAATCTAACCAACAAGTTTTTTTTTTTCTTTTTCTTTTTTTGTACAAGATTATATCCCCACAAACCAAAAATCAGCTTTGCCAATTTTCTATTTATACACGGTCACTTTTTATATTTTTACGCCCGGGTTATAATTTTTACCGGAAGAAAACTGCATTCGACGTCAAAGCGCCGTCACTTCACCAATTATTTTTAGTCAAAAGAAATAAAATTAAATAAAAAATAAAAGTGCAATAATAATGTCTTTTTTGTTCGCTCTCTTTAGTTTGAAGAATTGTCTGATCCTTTGGGTAAACGACCGGCACGTTCATGAATGGCCCTCAATTTTTTATATTTCTCCATTTTACGTTCTATTGGAGAAGGACAGTTCGATATTAAAGAGAATTCTAACGCTTCGTCATCAAATGCCATCGGTTCGTCGCTTATAGTACCTTCAGGAAAGATTACTATAGCATTTGGTTTTGACGAGAGTAAATAATCTGATGTTGTTGAAATGTTTATTTTTGGTAAATTTGTATGATGCATCACTGGTTTCGATGATGCGGAAGACGTTGAGGATGTTGATGAGTTAGACATATTGGTAAATTTGTTGATATTTTTTTATAAAGAAAAAAAAAATAATTTTTTTTTATTTTAAATAAATGGATCCTTATAATCAAATTTTTGCTCACTTCTTTTTTTGGGTTATTTTTTTGGAATATTTGAGAAGGGTTTGCTTATCGGCCCTTTTTATAACTTTTTTTCCAATGTCATTTATGTTAACCTAATTATGGTTAGCTTTTCGACGATCGTTACGCTGGATCTTTCCGCATGGAAAAAAATTAGCGATAAGTGCGAAGTTTTCCCATTTTCGGTTCTCATTACTTTATTGGTAAAATTTCTATTTATAATTTTTTCATAACAAATTCTGAACTAATATTTTTGATTTAAATAAAAACAACACTGTATAATATTTATGCAATGTCAAGTAATATAATAAAAAATAAAATTTCAATTATTTTCGGAACCAATCATTCCGTGATTTCTTATTTTGTTTTGAATGATTTTTATTTCATTCCGTATTTCATGTAAAAATGAGCGAAAAGAATGAAAAGTGAAGATAAAACCTAAAAATAGGCAACTTACGCAATCCTAAAGGAATTACATCATAAATATTAATGAAAAGGCTTAAATGATAACCCGGTAAAAAATAACTATCTCTTATTAACGCCCAAAATAAGCCAAATGGAAAATCCAAAGAATCGACAAAATAAATAAAATATAAATACTAATAAATGATATTCACACATGCAGGGATTTTTCTAGTCAATGTTTTAAACTATTTTGTGAATAAATTAGGGTAAAAATCACTTAGCAAAAATTTCATGTTTTAGGGCTTTTGGAAAATTTAATTTTCTATCTCGAATTCTGTTCAAAGTAAGGTCATAATTGATTAATTAATTACCTTGCGTAGCTAACCTAATTTGGTTATGTGTGTGGCTTATCAACATCATCCAGTATTTATAAAATCGGCCATGTAATTTACAATTTTTTCCGTCGTCATACTTTTAATATCCGCTTAGTAAGGTATCGACCCCTCGTTTCTATAACCTTATTCTAAACTTTGATGATACACTTTCCTCCGTATGTAACTAGAACCTTTTTCTTGGTTTAAAGTTTCCAGTTATTATTATTTTATTTATTTTATTAAACAAGACTAGTTTTGTGTAACGTCCAAGGATTACTCTCCACTTATTTGTTGGTCATTTCGGATATTGTTTGATTCCCAACTCCGATGCTTGGCTTTGTTATTCCCGCTCGCTTTTAGGATCGTTTTCAAGAATGATTTATGGCAATAAATTTATTAATTGCGTTTCTCTTTGTTCTATACTTTCATGTCATACGACCTCTCTTGATTTTATGAAATACAAAGAAAAATGAACGTCTCCTTTTTTTTGTAATCAAATGAAATGTGCTTAAACGGAAATAATAAACGCGACGACGTATGAACATATGACACATAACGTTTCCGTAGCGAATATCGTGATTTCAAACAATGAGCTTCATGACTTTCTTTTCTTGATTGTTAATAATTCATTTCCATATTTGAACTTACAAAGAAATTATTTTAAAAATAAACACGTCACGGTAACAAGACAAGGAAAAATAAAGTTTCAAATATTTTTTTAGTGTTTATTTTATTACTCTTTTTGGATTAAATGCAAAGGAGTCGGGGGTTACAAAGTTATTGATAAAAACAGAAAATTCTTTAGAATGTAGAAGTTTCCTTTGTAAAGAAAGGATGTGCCCCCGTCTTTGCCGATATACCAAAGTCGTTCCACTATTATTGAGAGTGAATAAGTCATATGAAAATTAATTTGGGGAGTCCGTGTTCTCTATATATAATTAGTGTTGTAAAAAAAAAAAATAATTATTTAAATTTCCAGTTTTAGGAAGGAAAAACTAAAATTGGTTAAATAATGCTGATAAACGTGCTTTTCAGGCGTTAATTTATTTTGATTTCATTAACAATTTCCCCTTTTCTATTGTAAATGGGATGGTTAATGACGCTCATTATTACTTAATTATTTCGATCATCGTTCTTTTTTAGTAATTTTTTATTCAATTATTTTTTTTTTTTTCTTCTTTACCGTCATTAGTAAATTTAAAAATAAACCATTATTGATTCTGCAAAACGATTTTAGTCTAAAAAGCTTTGATTTTTCTTCGTAAATAACTGTGTAATTGTTTTTGTTTTAATTATCTTTTTAACCAAAAATGGAGATTCACGACTATTATGGAATGAGTTAATTTTAACAATGCGATCTATATGCATGCTTTACTCATGGTAGCATCAATTTTAACAACAAAACACGATTCGCTGTATTACATAAACATGATGTGTCTATTGCATCAAAATGTACACAAATCGTGTGCTCAAAATTCTCGAAATACAAAGATCAACAATCGTGCTCAATTGCATCCTTATTTTCATTCGTTCCGTGATAACTCAACAATTATTCAAAGCTGCATGTCATCGAGCATTTGCATTAACAAACCTTGTGTAAAAAGAACGAAAAATGTTTAACGTAAGATAAAATAATTTTCCCGAAATCAAGCATTTTTTAATGTTACATCATAAATCCGAAAATAAGTATTTTTTTTTTTCTTTTTGTTTTAAAAAAAATAAAATAACGTCCCCATCATCGTCATCATCATCATCATCACCATGACTATTATCATCACCGAATTTATTCGATAAATTTCGAAACTCTGAGAAAGGTAAATTTATATTCATAAGGATTCCATGACTCATCCGCATTCACAACTTATCTCCAACAGTTTTGTTTAGTACCATTCCTTGTGAAGGTTATCTTTGAATGGGAATATCAAGTGGTTAATCGTGCCATCAGAAATTACTTTTAACCACTATAAGGAACATTTTTTTTTTAAATGATTCTTTCAAATCTATACAAATATCATTATTTTTTGAACTTTGCTAGATTTATTATTTATCTTTATATTATTAAGAAATCATTTCATCAAACAAATATCATTCATTCAAATTTCTATATCAGAGGAAATTTATATTTTACGTGTTTTTGCTTTCATTTATAAATAAAATTATAGACCTTTGGTTTAAAAATATTTTTTTAATAATAAATCAAAGTTTTAAAAAAAAAAAAAATTTAGAAATCTAATTTTAAAATGTCTTACCTAAAACACAAAGTTAAAAAAAAAAATTTTTAACAGTTTATTATCGTTACTTTTGGATTAATGAAAGTTGAATTTTATTCGAAGTGGTACAATATTTTTTTTTTCACTTTTTTTTTTAAGGAAAATTCTTTCTACATTATAATGTAATTTAATTTTTTTTTTCCTACTTTTAATTAAATGATGAAAATTAAAAGAGGAGAATGTAATAAAATCATAAATGCTTGAAGATACAAAGTCCTACAATTATAAATACATTAAATTTAAAAAACTATCTATAGAATGATTAAATTTTTAAATACTGGATTGTAATTTAACTAATTAAACAGAATTATATTAAAATTTTATCTATTAAAAAAAAAATACCATTTAAGATAAAATGGTTATAAATTAGATGAATCAATTTGTGAAAAATTTCAAATTTCCATATAGCAATGTACATAAATTAGCTGATTAGCAACATTTTGTTTACTTTACTTTTTACTATTTGCTTTCAATTTATCAAAATTTTGTATGTCTTGATATATTCAAGCTATATTTGTTAATTAAGGAATTTTTAATTATAACATAATATAATTAATCAACTTTTATAATTATACTGTTTATTTTATTAGTTTAATAGCTTTTTTAAAAAATCATTTTTATCTAAATAGAAAGCTTAATATTTTTATATACAGTATATGATAAATATTATAATTATTATATAATGTCTTATAGTGAATTATATATTCTATTTAATAAAAAAAGTAAATCCATTCACAAGATTGAAAGGATTATGGATTAAAAATTAAAGCTAATAATAATATAAATAAGACAAAAAAATAGATGAAATATTTTTACCTAAACTTATCCTTTCTAAATCAGATAACCTTAAAATAAATATTAAAGCTTCAAATACTAATAAAACTTTCAACCTTTTTAATACTAAACTAATAATCATAGAACAAAATATTTCAGCCTAAATTTAAATTAGTAATTGTTAAATCTGAGTTAAAGATGAGTATCACAATTAAAAAAATTATATAATTGAATTACAACTTGTAACGCAATTAAATTTTCTTATAGGACTATATAGTTGTAACTCAATTAAAATTTGAAAGTAATTATAAAACTATCGTTAATCTGAGTTAAAACTCATATCTAAACTTGACTTATATTTGAATCTTAACCAATACTTAAGTTAAAACCTATACTAATTTATCTGAATTAAAAATTAAATCAGTTTTAAATCAAAATTTATATTTGAATCTGAATCAATATTTAAGTTAAAATCTATATTTATCTAAATATATCATTTATATTGATAATAGGATTAAAAAATTATATAAAAATATGTAAATCTAATGATAAAAATCCTAAAGATTTTAATTATAAGTAAGTATAGAAATCTCTCAAATCATAAAATATATGATTATCTAAACTATAATATTATTATTTTGAAAGAATTATACAAACTTATAGAGATTAAATAAATAAAAAATATTGTGATTAAAATAAAATTAAAGTATACTTTAATAATTTTATAATAACAAAGTTAATATTCTTATTCATAACTGTATTATATTAACTATTCTGTAGCTAAACTTTTATAATATCCTTAAATGTTTTTTCACTTACTTAGAATATTCTATTATAATATCTATATAATAATTCATCAAGAAGATTTTTTGAGAATCTATCTTAATACTTACTAAATTAAACATACTGTTAAAAAATACTTATATAGTTAGTCATTACTAGCTTGCAACCTCTTTTTTTTCTAAAGATAATATTATTTTAACCTGTATATATTATATAGCTTCTACTTTAAGAAAGATAAAATATCAACTATTACTTGAAATATTATTGACCTTAGAAGTATTAAAATAAAGATATTTGTTATT